TTTAAGCGCTTAACACAAGACGTTCATCTTTAATGTGAAAAAAAACTCTTAGCACGTCCTCTCATGTGTACGATATCTTGAGCCTAACACGTGTTCAGTTTTTAATAACAATGAGAGATTGTTTGGCTTTGTACGTGGATAGCCTTTTGATACTATGTTAAAATGTGAACATGAAATCAAAAACCAAAGGCAGATAGTCTTTTAATACCATGAAGGAGATACATAATAGTATTATCCTATATCACAAGTTGGCCCAGAAGTAATTCCGGAAATACGGGCATAGCTAGGGTTTTGAAACTTTAACGAAACAGAATAGCAGTTCACTAAGAACCATGAATTTCTCCGGCCCGTCCCCACGCAAGTTATATCTCAGATGACTTGTCACGGTTAATGGTGACCATGAATTTCTAGTCTCTCCTATTTCCCTTAGTTTCCTAGCACTAGCCAGGAAACTGCATAGAAATCAGACCAAAAGAAAAGAAACGTGAGTAGAGAGACAAGCACTCAAAAACATTTCTTCAGTTCAGCCAATGGCAATTAGCATCAGCATCTTTGGACTTGTAGCTCTACGCGAGATCCATGGTCTTTCGTTTAGTGTATTTACATCTTTCTATTTGCTAGGAAGAGTGATACAGGAAACTTTGGTTTACAACTTCGGAACCCTATTGCTTGATCTGCTCAGTGACAGACATATCCTCCCAAGTCATGTAATTTTCCCTTTCCTTCTTATGCTACGTGTGACTTGTTCTCCAAGCAAGCTATCTGATTGTGTCACATCAAGTAATCCGGTTTTAATCAAACCAGTTTGTGGTAATGCAAAATGTCTTAAGTAATTCCTAATTTTCTTTCTGCAAGCTACTTGAACTCATACGCGACAAAATTTTCTGATGCTAATGGACTCATGCTCCGAAGGTCATTTATCAAATGATGATGGAACTGAGCTAGTGCATTTAGCTTCACAATGCTTGCAGTACGAACCTCGTGATAGGCCATATTTCAGTCTCTTTGCGAAATGCAGGGAAGACAGCGCTTTAAGTAGCATGGGAATGCGGCATTTCGAGCAAAAGACTTCACGGCCGCAATAGATTCTTACACAGAAGTAGGTACCTTCATTGTTAAGTCTTAGAAATTGAGACATGCCAAAATTCATGCTGATATTTGTTGCACTGACATATGATTAAAGTTGCGACTTTGCATAACGTTCACTGGCATAAGACATAAATAGGGAAAACGATTGGATCGGTTTTCCTTTCTTGCTTCTTATTGATGTTCATTCATCGTGACAGCATTGAACCAGGAACGTTTCAGTCGGGAACCTTTCAATCGGGAACTTTGTTTGCTAACGGTGCATATGTTACTTGATGAGTGATGTGGCACAAGAAGCTGTCGGAGACGCTATGCAGTCCCTCGCACACCGCCCTGAATGGCCTACTACCTTTATCTCCAAGTGGCTGCCTATAAGAGCATAGGAACGGACAATAAGGCCGAGGAAACTCTAAAAGTTGGTGCATCCTTGGAAGTTGGAAGTCAAAAAACATAAAAACTGGAACGCAGAGCAATTCCCTCGCCATTTGAGTTGTGCTCTGCAGCACCAAAGGGTTATTGTCTTGGTGTCTCTCTGCTATTCGAATCTACAGAAGCCAGTCGTTAGACCAAAATCAAGTTACATGTTTGTTTGCTTCCTGTGTTATGTTTCGGTAGTCATGATGCACCATTTAGAGCTAGATGGAAACACGGAAAGAAAATTTTCGACAACGTTATTTGATTGACTCGATCGTGTCTATGAGATGGAAAAAGGGCATCAAACAAACAATACCAGCTACTTGTACAACATTCATCAAGAAGTGAACTGAAACATTAACCACAAACATGGATGGGAAAAATTGGAACCATAAATAAACTAGAGAAATCTTCACAAGTACTTCTGCTCAACAATGCTGCCAAAAAGGTAGAACCATCTCACCTATTTAAGGTGTTAGCAAACCACCGAACACAGTGGCAATTATTCAAGAAACGAAGATAATTAAGAAGTCTTCACTATGAATGCCCAATTCTGTTATGGACTTTGAACATAGGGCGACGTATGTCAAAAACCTGTCCCTATTGTTTTCTTAGACCACAAAATGGAATCAACTTACGACTAAAAGAAAAAGGCATAACAATGCGAACAATTACAATCTCCAAATTGCCCGAGATCCTGCCAAGCATCTATCCAGGGAAGAGCAAGTCGCAAAGCAAACCAGGCGTAAATTTTACATAGGAGGCCGACCAGAACCAAGCAGCTGCCCGACTAGATTAGTCACCTGCACACGACAAAAATTTTCAACCATATACACATAATAGAACAACCTTCATTTGCACAATCATAATTGCAGCAGTTAGCGAAAACTGTGAAGTGTAAGAAGTAAATATATGCAAGGCTTAAGGCTTAATCAAAGAAACCTTTCAGAACACTACAATTGTGATAGATTGAGAGTATAAAACTAAAGTGAGAAATATCAACCAAAAGAGCGAAGAATAAAATATTTAACGGTTGAATGGGTTTATTGATTCTTATAACTTAATCCAAGTAATACCATAGCACTAAATTGATAAGAAGAAGACAGAGTGATATCTTACATGCCAGTATTTTGAGACACATCGATCAATGCAACTGTTTTCACCCATATTTAGCTCAGACTCCTTGTACCTGGACGTATTTGAACAATTCACATTTACTAACTTCATCATTTAAAAAACGACCTAAAAGTAAAATGCTAAATCCTTCAAAGGGTCCACAAAATCTTAAAAAGAGAAAAGAAAATAGTGTTCATACTTCTTCTCAACGCACTTGTTGAAACATGTATGGGTGAGCCTGCATAAATGAACCAATTAAACAAAGAAATGAAAACCGAATAACTTGGAAGCTAAGGTATCACAGATAGAAAATTGCATATACCAAACAGAAAATGCACAACCTAAAGAGATGTGGTAGTCTAAGTGTATAACACAAGGGTGAGAAGTACTCTAGTGCTCACACACTGAAGCCACAAGACTACCAGATAATGTAGCTTCAGAAATATCATTCGTTCTTTTGTGCACAATCATACATGCTCATCAGAACAAAGTATGATCTCCAACGGAAATAGAAGTGACACAGGTGAAAGTCAAAATGAACAAACAAATAATAGTGTACGAGGAGGCCCTAAAGAATTGTTCTAACTAGGAGACAAGCTTAAATTATTCAGATAATAAGTCTTGCACAAACCCAACTTTCAAAATACTAGATTAGTATGCCGTGATATTTAACAATGCCGTCAAAAACTTACTTGTTGAACAACTCAACCCTGTATTCCATCTCCTTTTCTGCCATACCAAAAATCTGCACAATTGTTTAAAACCAAATTAAGGTCTTTCGAAAACCCACCAGAGATTATTTGAAAAACACGAATTTAGAACAATAATTCAAAACCAAAGAACAGAAAATCCATCACACCAGAGTAAAAATTAACCATCTTGTTGCTTCCTAACTCTCAAGAAATATCCACGTCTCACTTTTACTAATGTCAAAACACCGCCATCATTGATCAATTAGACAAATAAGACCCCATTTGATTACGCCCAAACTCACAGAACACCCAGATTCCCAACACCAATTGAACAATCTAACCATGAATTTCCAAAACTTTCCCCAAAATCCAGTCTTGGGCATGCATTAAATCCAATCTAAAACTTGAATTCATTTTTAGAGAACAAAAAGTAAAAACTTTGAAACAATGAAGCAAAAGGGTACTTACCTGTTCCTTGTCCAAAACCGTCGGCGCATTGTTGGGGGCAGCCATTAGAACCTGAACAATTCGCAAATTAATTTACACAAACTTCTTCGAAACCGAATGAATTAGCAGAGAGGGCTTAAGTAATTTTCCTCGGCGGGATGGAATCGAACGCGCTGAAAGTGGTTGCTGTAAATGCAGAGGGGTTTAAGCGTCCGATTTGAAGCCAAAGCAGGAGAAAATAAAAATCCCACTGAGCTAATAATGTACGACTTAGGGTTTTAGGAGTTAATATAGCGTGTACATACGATGGACGGTTTTGATTTTAGGGGGGACTTTCAACCGGAAAAGTAGTGGATTATTGCCCTTTCTTTTCTCCTTCCACCACAAGTAGTGCGATAATTTCACAAAGGCCCTGTATGGTGGGCCGCCGTATATAATTGTCCTTTTCTTTCTTTTTTTTTTGGATTTATTTATTTATTTTCTAACTCATAGTTCATCGGGGCTCAAGTTCAGTTGATTAAAGTAGTATGTTTCTTTTGTTATGCTATAGTTTGAATATTCATTCAAATGATTTAGATTTCGTGCAAACTATCATTCAATTAAAAGAAAAACTCGTATTATGTTTGCTTACAAGAAATGAATATCATTTTCATTGTATGTTTGCTAACAACCAAGGATTTGAGAGGAAAAAACGTGAATCCACATTGATTTTGCATATCTAATACCTTCTCATAGCGAAAAAAAATCAAGGTATAAGATTATTAAGGGGGTTGTTTAAACTCATGGAAATGTGTTTTCATGTTCGCCGAATAACAATTGTTTGTTCTCAATTCATTTCAAATTTTAACAGATGACTCGTAACTTAAGCAGTTAAGAGTTTTTTCTCGTGTTCTCAAAACTCGGCGTTACCTAGTGAATCATATAATATTCAATAATGCCATACCATTTGAATGGATCGAAGATTTCAAATTGACGACATTTGTGCCCGTAACCTGTGTATTACAAGGATCATTGAGAAAATACATACTTTCACATTGTGCCGGTAGCTTTCATTAGCAATGCTTCACAATTTACAGGTACGAGGGCTTGACCAGCATCTCCTCCGGATCTTTCCACACTGGGGAGTCCTTAACTGTACAAATAAGATTCACATACGCAAAATATGTGCTAGACTACGCACTGCAAATGGAAACAAGTTGTCACCCCTATTTATCCAAAAATAATATACTTGTTATAGATATCCGTGTAGAATATTATATTACGAGGGGCAGAGAGCGTGTGTACGGCAAAGTAGGAACGGGTACAGCAGCAACGTAGCAGCACAAGCAAGAGGATGATTGGAACTGCAACTTACCCCCACACATTCACAGAAGCCTTTTTCTTTCCCCTGCTGGTGTTCATGAAAGCACTTTGAAGTGAAAAAGCCATGAAATTACGAAGGCAAGAATCATGCAGGCAAGAAGGAAATTCATAATGCAGCGGCCATGCCACATGGTTCAGGTTTCAACCTGGATCATGGGTGCTGCTGGTACTGATGCGGCTGTGGCAGTACTGCTATTTGCCTCGTTTATCTGGCCACTGGAAATGTTGAATGCAGTTACTCCACAGATCTCGCAGGTTCTGCAAATCAAATCAATAAAATTATGCATAGGCAGAAAATAACATATCAGTCAGACATGACAAGCAATTACAACCATAACGCAACATAATAAAGAAACGTACCATGAGGATTTTGAACAAACATAATGAAGTGTAACCAACAGCATACAAATTTAAAAAATATAGAAGAAAATGCTATACAATCACTGTAAGTGATTTCAAAGGTCATCAATCTTCTATTTATGTTTCTGGAAAAAAAGTCATGTCGTCAAGATGTCGTTCCATTTGCTTACCATGATGAGTAAATTGAAATTTGAACTAGCTTGCTGTTCTTGCATATCTTCTCCTCATCCTGGTTACCAAGCAAGTCAGTCTTGACCAATCCATCTATGATGTATTGTATTATCATGTGATGCAGCTTATCTAGATTATATTTCATGTAGCCTAAGTTTGGATATTTCCTTTGCAGAGGGTATAGCGTGCAAATGCTCATCATCATTTACTAATCCATATGCATAATGTAAACATTTACATCTTTATTAGAAGCAGACATAAAAAATACATGGCACACAAGATATCCACTTTTCGACATAGGAGCTCAATTCTTGCATACAAACACATTTCCTTTAGCTTGCATTGGACCTCGCACTTTCCACTAATGTAAATGCCACAGAAAGTGTGACTGTAAAAACTATAAACGTAGAACGATCAATATGTTTGAGTTCAGATGGACTGCAATAGTGGTGACTACAAGCTTTGTTCTTTTACTAGATTTTCTCGTATTGCATATGAGCATACGCATTCTACTATATACGTGATCTGCCTCATTCAGCATTCCAGTAAGAAGCAAAATGATAAGAACAATTGTGACAGTTACATCAAAAGAAAGAAGCTAATTAGCAAGTAATCATTTGAATAAGCTGAACTCACAGAAGTAGGAACCTAAAAACTATCAAGATGGTCTTTGTTGTAGCATGCCCATAGTAAGATCATAGTTTGAAGTATGTTAGGATGCCACTTGTCATCATCTCAATATGACAAATGTAAGGTTGAGATGCTATAGTAGTAGATAAGATGGTTGTAAGTTGTTAGATGATAGCTTACAAAGGAAGCTAAGTAGTTTACATATAAGGAAGTCGGTTGTAATTGGGAGGGGGTCATTGGAATAATCTCTGTTTAATACAAGAAAGTACTATGCAATTGTCAAGAAGTCGAGCAAGGTTTTAACATTGGTATTAGCCAGTGTCGATTCCTCTCAATCTTTCATTGTTGTATGCCTCGCCGACCCTGGAACACCATGGAATCGCGAGTGTCAACTTTGGAAACCATGCTCGCCAATCTCAAAGCTAAGCTCAAGAACAACCAAGAGATGATCATGATGCAGCTGCAATCTATGGCAGCCAAAGGCGGTTCTTGCAGCGGCGAATCGTCCGAGGCAACACCGCTGAATCCTCAGATACAAGGCGAAGTACAATGTGGTAGCCACGATTTGGGTCTTCAAAATTGCTGGGCATTTCTGAAAATGGACTTTCCAAGGTTCATGGAAGGTGATGATCCTTTGGGTTGGGTCTATAAAGGCGACCATTATTTCGATTTCTACCACATCGAAGATGCTAAGAAGGTGAAAATGGCTTCATTCCACATGGAAGGGGAAGCTCTTCAATGGTTCCAGTGGGCCAATTGTCTAACCAATTATCCTAATTGGGAGGATTTCACCAAGGTTTTTTGTCAAGAATTTGGACCTTCCGAATTCGAGGACTCTGCTGAAAGTTTGGTCAAGTTACGGCAAACTGGGACACTCCGAGATTACTTGTTGGAATTTTGACATTTATCGAATCGTACCAAAGATATCAGCCTTGCTTTGTTGAAATCTTGTTTCATCGGGGGTCTTAGGCCGGAATTGCAACTTGATGTGAAGCTCTTCAAACCTAAGGATGTGCTGGAAGTTGCTGCATTATCTCAGCAGATCGATGCCAAGCTTACAGATCTCAAGGCGAAAACTTTCTATAAATCACCTACAATTCAACCCAATTTTAGATCACCAGTTTTGCAGAATGTTAGTAACCAAACATTGGCTGATATTCGTACTAAACTCCTAATGTATGACGATTGACCCCAGAAGAAGTGGATTATTGTTGAAATAATGGATTGTGTTTTCACTGTAAGGAGAAAATATGTGAGGGGCCATACTTGTGAAAAGAAACAGTTGCATCTTCTTGATGTTCAAGACTGTGAGATGGGTGATGAGTGTGCTGAGGAAGTAGAGAATGAGGAACCAGAGATAACTGTTTGTGCTATTTTTGGCATCCCAGCTCCACCTATAATTAATACTATGAAGGTCAATGGATTTGTTAAAAACTGTCCAGTCACTATACTCATTGATTCTAGTAGTTCTCATAACCTTGTTGATTTGGGATTAGTTAAAAGACTCAGGGGGTATCTTGATACTGCATATCTTTTCAATGTTAAACTGCAAATGGTGGACGAGTTGCTACGAAAGGAACATTAGCTCAAACTACTGTGAAAATTTAGGATTTCAGTTGTATAACTGATCTCTATGCCATTCCTTTAGGGGGTTGTGAAATTGTATTGGGGGTACAATGGCTTCGAACCCTTGGCCCCATTCTCTGGGATTTCGATAAACTTTACATGAAATTCTTAAATGGGTCTCATACATATTGTATTACAAGTCCAGGATCTTCCTTACATCAGCTTGAAGACATATCAGCATTGCAGATGCAAAAACTTTTGCAGTAGGAAAACACAATAGGAGCAGTTCTTTATCAAATGGGACCTACTACTATGCAATGTTATTCTCCGGAGCAAACATTGGGGGATCTAAGTTCTCAACATCTCACTAAGCTGCAACAACAAGACTTAAAGTCCCTTTTGGGGGAATATGAGATATTGTTTGCAACCCCTAATACCTTACCTCCTAATAGGTTGCATGATCATAGAATTCCCTTGATAGCAGGAAGTAAACCTCCAAATACGCCTTATAGATATGGTCCAGTGCAAAAATCAGAGTTTGAAAAATGTGTTCAGGAGTTTTTACAAGCTGGTTTTATTAGGGAAAGTAATAGCCCTTATTCATCTCTAGTAATGTTAGTGAGGAAGAAAGAAGGGACATGGAGGATGTGTATGGATTATAGGGGTCTGAATGGCATCACTATCAAAGACAAATTTCCAATTCCTTTGATTGATGAACTTCTGGATGAATAGTTTGGTGTTCAATTATTTCTAGATTTAAGAGCTGGTTATCATCAAATTAGGATGTATCATAATGATATAGAGAATACAGCTTTTAGAACACATGATGGCCATTATGAATTTTTGGTCATGCTATTTGGTTTAACGAATGCTCCTGCCACATTTCAGTGTTTGATGAATGAAATTTTCTGACCATTTTTGAAAAAGTTCATCTTGGTGTTTTTTGATGACATTTTGGTATATAGTGCTACTTGGGAATTGCACCTGCAACACTTGAGGGTAGTATTTGATCTGTTGAAAGCTCACAGTTTGTTTGTTAAGAAATCGAAATGTGCCTATGGGAGGGATAAAGTTGAATATTTGGGACATATTGTGTCCAAAGATAGGGTAGTTGCCGACCCTACCAAGTTGGATTCAATTGCTAACTGGCCTATCCCTACTACAGAAAGTTTTTTCCCCATTTTGGCAAAATTATAGGTCCCTTGATTGCC